TTCTAGATAAAGGATACTGTTACTACATTCTAGATAAAGGATATTGTTACTACCCTCAAGTTATGCCTAAAACAGTCAAGGATACAAAAGCCATATTTTCTCAAGTTTGTGGACTGTCAGTGCTATTTTCTTAAAAGAATTAAAAGATAAATAGAAAGATAAATGAAATTTTTTAGAACGGTGCATACACCAATGATTTCAAATGGATCAGTCAGCCACAAAATCCATCTTGAGTTCGGTTTAAGGTTGGAGTAAGAATTTGGATAGGGTGGCACTTACTCTTAATTTTGAACATCACTGTATGTTAGTCTTACACCTTCTTTTTCTAAATACAGCTTACTATTATAAATCACGGGAACTAACTACAGAACTTTCTATTAGGGAGTTTATTAAGGTACTGAAAAAGTTTAATTACATAATGTATGACCTTAAACTTGAGCATAAACACACATACACATGTACGTCTGCTAACAAAATATATTGAACATATTTTAGATATGCAATACTGCCATAAACTAACATGATAAGTTAGCCCAAAATTAAAACATCACCATAACTCATTCAGCATAAAATTATAAACTGTAACAATTTAACATTTTCATTTAAAATTTTTTACAATAATGATTCTATATGCATGGATAACCTTATGCATAGAGTTGTATGGTATTTAAAGTACCAGTTTTTTTAAAAAAAGAAATCATTTGCACTGCTCTCAACAGCCCTGTGTGTGCAGCCCGAATGTGCACACACATGAACATGAAGCACACACACGCTCATACACAGACACTCCCAATCTTACACCTGCTCTGAAGCAGTAGGAAGTGAATTCTCAATCTGTCAACATGACCATCTGGTCTATCTGCATATCACGGCTTTCTCTATTACTATATGAAGGAATGGCAATCACGGAGCCAAAATAAAACTAAAATGCACCTGAATGGGAGTATCTCTGTCTTTGTTGAAATGGAATAATACGTGGCATATCAGAGCAAAACTAGCAGAATGTAAATAATTTAAAATGAGCATTCACAACAGCATAATTAAATGAACAATATGGTACGAGTAATGTGGTAATCAGTAATACTGGCTGTACAGGTTTCCGGAACAGGTACCAGACTTCCAAAACACTGCAAACAGCTCTTTCAGCGAGTGGCAGGACTGTTACTATTCCTGTTCCAAGCAAAACTAAGGACAGGCAGTAACGGGTAGCGTGGAAGCAACCAGTAGCTACTGTACTAAAACATTACTGTGGAAAAATGGTCACTCTCCACCTTACAACTAACACTCCTCGTGCTATCCTTAGGACAGATTCAATCACTCTGTCACTGGAGAATTAACAATGACAGTCATTACCTGACAAATATTGGTCATTTATTAGTCTCTCAAAGCAAATTTTAACGCCACTAAAAAAAATTTCCAATCTTAGAAAAGTCCTCATCTGTAAAAAGTGAAGATGCTTGTGGCGATTTTGCTTTTGGGCCTACTGCCGCTGGAAAGTTAGGCAAAGGCTTTACTTAGTTGATTTAAATATAATGCTATTTATTTAATTGTACTTTCTAATTGTCTCCATATAGCTGCCTCATTGTTTCATTCCATCTTGCAGCAGGTAATAACTATCGAAAATAAATTGTGACTCTGTCATTCTGGGGTGTAGACACAGCAACTTACCTCTATCCAAAAGGTGAGTCCTTAAAAAAGTCTAACCTCTTAAAAAATTTAACTAAACTGAGAAATCTTTCTAGAATCTGATTACATTACCAGAAGTATACAGATGCAGTTAAAAAAAAAAAAAAAAAAAACTCTCCAGAAAGTTCTCGGTTGAGTGCCTACTAATGAACAAAGGTTAACTTTATCTAAAAGGTCAAATGCCTGGTGGCTAAGGTTATGACCTTAACAACTTAAATTGTGACCTTGCCACGTGCCGGGTATATTGTAGATTCTGATACAGATCATCTGGTAAAGACTGGTCATAAATTAGCTTTACTGTTACACGCCCACAAAGAAAACCATTTGCCACAATTCCATAATATCTTCAAGTTGTCATACGATACCTATGGAAGGACAACTCAAATAAAGACCAAATTAAGGGCATAAAATGGTTTTGCTCTTTTATACTTTTAACGAGATGAAATTCTCAGGCTTATGGAATCACTCCAATTTCATTACACTTGTTACTGTTTATCAGCCACAAAATTCACACTGCCTGAATGCTACCAGATTTAGAAAAAAAAAAAATCAGAATGTAGTTTAGGTATTGTATTTTAGCATCTCAATAAGTTTTAGACTACATCACCTGCACTTTTAAAAAATGACTGATTCTGCACTGGCTTCCAGTATTTACAGTGTGTCCTAAGATTTCAACCTCCTACCAAAGAAAAGGCCGAGGCATGAAGCAGTAACTATCGTACACATTTTTGGAAGGGGAAAAAAATCTCATTTGCGGGGCTATCTAGAGGGAAGAAAATGGCATTTTGAAAGAAAAAAAAAATACAAGACTATAAGAGAGAGGGGGGTTGGAAAATCCACCATAGGTGAAAAGGCCACAATGGTTTTGGCATGTTTCTTGAAGCACGTTTCAGAGTCTCTGCCTCTTGCCAATACTGGCAAGTTCTCAAAACTTTTAAGGAGGTAAAAACATTGTTTAGTGTTTACAAATCTTCAGTATTATAACAGATGCTTGTCAAATCAGTTGTATGTAAGTTGACCGATCTACCTCATATTTGTATTGGCAACTAGCTTCCCTTCCACAAATCACAGGTCTCTAAATCAAATCTGAAATATTTTCAGACAAAAGGCCCTTAATATTTTCTTCTGCGAGCGTCCTTTTGCGTGCACCGAGCAGCAGCCATCACAGTGCTCTGTGAAAGCCAATGGCCTCACACTTGGCTGCCAGTCAGGCCTACCAAGGGATTCTGGGATACCTCAGGAAAACCAAACCGAAAGGTAGTCTGATCCACGTTGCTGTCAATAAATCTTTCATAAGCAATAAGGATGCTAACTCTCCCAAGCAACCTTCTACCTGTCACTTCACCAACATAAACCCTTCGGGTACCAAAACCACCAGCAGCCGTGTTAGCTCAGGGATTTGGAGCCACGGCCCAGTAACGAACGGTCACCGACGCAAGAGAATACACGTGATGGCATTAGCTCCGAAGGCTGCAGCTCTTTGAATCGAAGGAAAATACTTATACCTAAAATTCAGAACGGGTGCTGCTCCCACCGACAAAAACGTAACCGGTGTTCCGTTTCGAGGTACCTTGTAAGAAAGCACACACCAGGATGTGTACCACCTGTTGGCACCCTCATTTTTCTCTATTGGTTCAATTAGAGCATTTGTTAGAGTTGATAAATTATTTACTTTTCTAAATACTGAAAAGATTAAACACAAGATCTTAAGGAGTCCTCCCTGAAAGCACTGATAACACCCATCCTTTTTTTTGTGCCTTGCCTTTCCGTCAGAACCTCCACTTACACACGCAAATAAATTTTTTAAAAATTTAACTCTGCTTTTTCAATAGAGAAAACAATGTAACAATAGGGTGAAAAGGGGATTAAGAAAGGGATACTTGTTCCTGTCTAGAGGTCACTGGAGAGGTGGTGCCTTTTCATTTCACTAGGAAGAACAGGCTACAGCAACAGGCACTCCTTACAATTAAGTATACATTCTCCAAAACCCAAATATTTGAAACACTTACAGATCACATCCTCTAAAATACTCATCTATCCCCTGCCAACAGAATGCAAATGATAATGTGACATGCTTGCAAAGTTAATTTCTCCAGTTTCTTATGTAAGGACAGATGGGTAACAAAAGTTCTCTTTCTAAAACATATATTGAGAAAAATAAAAGAGAATAGGCTATCAGCTGACTTCTTTAAAAAAAAAAAAAAGCTCAGTCTTAGAATTAAAAACATTTTGCAAAAACAGGTTTTTACAGGTAGCACCTTTCTCCTTTGTGAAAAAATATGTAAATATATGAACCCCAAAACAGCCTACTGGTAGGATTCCATAACCTTCTTTCCTCCATCTGGCTCAAGGAACCGCCATGAAGGTAAAATCTAGCAAGGCCGATGTGTACATATAAAAAGTCAACAAGTTACACAAGACTTGAGCTTTCCCATAACACAATGAACCTTTTGTCTAAAACAAGGCAAAAGAAACAAAGTAGAAATGCATTCTTTTACTCAGTGCTCAATAGTTTTAGCCTGAATGCTATAATATACACAGGTAAAACATGCCTTGAAAACAGCCTTGAAACAATAACGAATCTTATCACCAATCAAAGCAACTCACTAAATCAATGATCAATATCGATTTCTTGGTGCATTCATGCACAACCCAGGCTGGTTACTTTTAAGATTAACCTTGCCATCAATTACTTAGAGAGCTGGTTTGTTTCTTCCTCAGCTATCCTAGACAACAGGAATTCCTAAAAACAAAGCTACTACGTTTGTGTATTCATGTAATTCTTTTTCCTTCATAAATGATCAGCAATTTGCTAGTACTCTCACCACCTTTTCTTAATTAGCAGGGGCTTCAAGAGGCCCCAGCAGGTTAAAAACACTCCCAGAAGATAAGCAACTAAAAATACTGTCTCACCAACCAAACTCCATGCTTTTTAAACGCGATCATTGCCATTTATAATACCCCTTTATTCCAACTGTTTTATGAGGCTTCTCTCACCCATCACCGAAAATTGGGATTTAAACATATCACACAACTACCAACACCTTTGATAACACGACTTGCCAAAAGACCTTAACTTGGTGAGAGTCCTCTCAAAGCTATGCTTTTCCACCTGAATGAAGCTGTGCCCTCGGACAAGGGGAGGGGAGGGGAGGGGGGCTTCTGGCTGTTCTGACTCTGGTCTACCTCTGAAAGCACACTGTCTGTCTGCACTGTGGCCTGCAACTCAGACGGTGCGGGACTGGCCCGGCACATAGAGGACATCAGAAAAGAGACACACAAGAAAGTGAACAACTTCTCTCCATCGCACTTACCTGCTGCATGCACAAAGTATGCCAAATATAAATCGAGTTCCTTAACAGAAACCCCTATGTGGTGCGGCTGCACACAGAGCCCGGGGTTCGAGCACTGTGGGGACTTTACCAGGCGCTCACCATCAGTACTTTCGAGCGGAATACCTTTAAATAAAATCACCATAACAAGGTCCAACCTCCAGACTTTATCTGCCTGGCGAAGGCAGTCAATTCTTCGCATCTTGCCTTTCTGGTCTGGGTTGGAAAGAACACAACATGGAGGCTTTTTCCCCGTAACTGTAAGAACAAAATCCTCTCGGTACTCAGGTCGGATGTCTTTCCGTAACTTGGCCAGGAGTCGAGATGCCCACTTCTGCTTGACCTCTGGTTTTTCACTTAGCAACTCATCCTTCACGGCTCTCTCTTCTTCTTTTGACATACGCTTTTCATGTTTTTTGAAGTATTTTCGTTTTCGGGCCTGCAGGTTGAACCATGTGTAGGCGAAGGCTCGGACGTGGGGCAGAAGTGCTTCAATGAAAGGATGAAATTCATCCTAGAGAAATGAATGACAACAAAAATATAACTATAGTGAAAACAAAAGGAAACAACTTTTCTTCAGATGGTCATTTTAAAAACAAAACAAAACAATGCTTATTTCACTTGAAAGCTGACTCGAGCATTACAGTACCAAAATTACACAGAGGGTGCCTATGGGAAGTCTGAGGGGGGAGAAAAGGAAAACTGTCAGTATCATGCCTCACAATCTCAAAAAAGAAAACGGCTAAAAATTTAAAAATCTGTTGGTATGTTCACCAACGTGCACCGGGGTCTACTGCCAAGCCTAGGTCCCAAGTCCTTTAGATAGTACGTGAAATGTATTGAAATGTTTATAACAATATATAATCTTAACCCTATTTCAAGAAAGGCATATCTAATTTTGCTCCAGCCTTGACCTCACTACTTGTAGTACACCCAGGGCTCGGCCGCCAGATTGGCAAATCCTAAACATTTAGATGCCAGTCAATGTTTATGGAAGTCTAGGAGCAAAAAAAAAATCATTTCCCCGATCAATGAAAACAAAGACTTTCCCTCTAAAAATACTGCATGGAGACGCTAATCTGTTTCTTAGGCATTTTGGTAACATCTTAATTCCTTCTTAAGGATTACAGTTGCATATAATTTTTTTAGTCAAAAACTTAGAAAAATCTGGCATATGCAAAAGATGAATTTCATATTCTTCAGGCTGAAATAAAAGATCTATTTCCAAGACATACTTGCTGATACTATGGGAATGAAACAAAAAGAAAAAAAAGGGGGGGGAACAAAGAAAAGCATACATGCCAGAGAGTAAATAGAATGCGTCATTGTGACAACAGGGTTGCAACTAAATACAGTTAATTTTGTAAAATGCCTTCGGTAATAATCATCGCTAAAAAAGAGAATCTTTACTTAATTTTTGAAATTAGTATTTCAAGCTTTTTCTCACAAGGAAATAGAGAACCTGGTACATTTAATGTTTATGAGATTCCAGGAAAACCCCCACGGTTGCCTCTTAAGATTCAAGTAACCCGAAAATAAAATTCAATTTAAAACATTTAAGTTTTTCTTACTGTCTTATGAAAATGTTTGATTCTTTAACTTGATATTTGCTTAGGAAATACAAAATTAAAGAAAAATTAAACAGTAACCTCCACAAAGCTTTCTGAGTACATCTAACTTTTGATTAACCAACCCACACTAATCTTACATAACTTCTCTCTGCCGCACAAACCCCCAGAAGATAAATTATTTACTTTCAGATAAATGAGGATAAGAACACCAAAAAGATATCTGATGCCTTTTTTTAAAAAGGGTGTAGGACAGACAAATATTATAAAATGCATTCTTTTTCAGTTTGTACTATCCACCTAAATATATACTTTGGAGGCACAAGTAACTGTAATGTCCAAAATATTATTACTATAAAGAAATTATTAAATTTTCAAATGTTCAAATGTAAACTGAGTGGTTAAAATTGGAAAAATATTTTGTCACGTCTGTTAAAATATTATAAATTATAATCAATCATCTGAACATTACATATGACTATTTTTAAAAGTACATATTAATGTAATATATAATAAATCACTTCAATAATTGACATTTATCTTTTTCCTCTCTGGACAAATTTCAGGCTCTGCATTTCAAATTTAGCTTTGAAAACTGCTCTTTTTCAATAAAAATCTAAAAGAAAAGTAGCTTTTCTAACGTGTGTGCATTCTTCAAGTGGAGAGGGAGCAGAAAAAAATACAAGAATTATATTATTCTTTACCATAAACATTTTAAATGTCTGATGTTTAAGAATCTTTCTTATTGCCATACTTTAAAAGAGAGAAATGATGGTGGGGAGGGGGTGTTTTCAAGTCACAGTTTATCTAATAAGGTATAAGCCAAACCGCAAAGCATTTAAACATTACTAAATTCTGAGCTCATCCTTGAAATGTTCTAAAATACATAAAATTGGGGTTTGAAACAGTCCTTCACATTGACTTATTTTCTTATATGCACAGAACATGCTAGGGACCAAGGCTCTGTGGTATTATGTTAAGAACTCCTGGAGTCTACCTTAACTATAAAGTGAGCTTTCACCAAAAGGAAGATTTCATCTTAAAATCTCAGGCCTGTTTTATAAAGCAAAGAACAACTAAGTTCCAAACAATTCACATTTATGTTAAAATGTTATCTTATTCAAAAGCTTCATTAATAAGAATAAGCCTTGCCTAAAAAAGACATTCTAATATGGCATTTAAGTGTCTGAAGAGACTCATAGTATGCTTCTCACAGAACTGCGAACCGCGTTCATTCGTGTTCATTTTGTTTACCTGCCAACCAAATGCCTATATAGCTCATCATAAAAACATAAAAACCCTCAAATGAGGACAACCATGTCAACTAATCATTAAGAATAATCTAAGTCCCCAATTGTGCACCAAAAGTATGTACAACTTATTACTCCCCAAAGGTTTCAAGAATGTGCCAATAAAAGTGCACAATATTTTGTACAACTTTACTCACATGTACTATTAAAGAGCTAGTCATCTTTCTCAACTCACAATTAGAAATAGACCAGATCATCAAAAGTAAAGAAAATCATTAACTTGCAGGAAATGTCAAGGCCCAGCATAAATTAATTTTTTTTAAAAAGTAAGCCCCTATAAATCATGTTGCTGCACATACTGCCATAAGCTACGTACTATTTCAAAATATTCAGGAGATAATAAAGAATATTCTACACGTGCACTCAGTGAGAAAGTTATAGACCATCAATGAAAACAAACCTGAAAACCTGTTTCAAAAGCAGTATGACTTTGAATCAGCACCTTAAATGTTGATCTGTTTGTAAGTAAGCCAAGTTTAAAAACCACTGAACGTTGATATTGCTGGAACTACTTTTAAAGGTTCACCTATAAATTTCTACCGGGTTATCATTCTATGGCCAGGTAAACGATTTGGTTATGATACGCTTGTATGGACAAAAAGAAGACGCCTGACATTTTCTTGATAAAGTTTTAAAAATTGCATACACGTAGATGGAGTTTATTCTTTCATTTAGAGTATTTCTGCCACTGTGCTTACTGAACTTTCTTCAATGACCAATAAACTACCCAAGTTTTCTTTCTAAAACTGGCTCTACAGCTTTATAAGTATTCCAGCAAGTTAAATAAAATTGTTAATCAATTTTTAAAAGAAGAACCCAAAATACGTGGCTCTTGTTCACTATTTAAAGTATAATTTCTTCACCAACTGTTACACTAAGTGTTTCTTTTACTGGGGTTTCCAGAAGAAGGCCTAGTGAGTGTATCAATCACACTGCCAAATATGTTTAAAAAAAAAAAAACTTTCTTAATGTGATAATAGCTCGTGAACCAAGAGAATCGCCTTTGTCAGGTACCTGACTATGTCCTGGGCCTGCATGGATACACAGGTATCCTCATATATGCACCAACCCAAAATATAAATTTTTCTCTGCAGAGCTCACTTGAGAAGACACTCATGTGTCTGCTAAGGTCATGCCCCACCATTGCAGCACCCTGGTATTGTCTACAAGTTCTCTATGTTGCAAACTTCTGCCAGCAAGAACTTCAGCCTTTGAATCTCAGCATTTCCACTGTAGTCATAACTCATTCAAATTCTCTTACACTTTGCATCTTATCCATATGCAATTGTGAACCTTGCCAGAAGTGGTTGGAAAAGTTTCATTCCATACTTCCACAAGTTACTAAAATAGGAACTTTGGAAGTTTGTTAGGGAAAAATAAAAAACTTTTACAGTAACTAAAAGCAACTGCTATCCATTACTAATGCTAGGCCTAAATCCCAAACAGACCATTTCTACATAAAAGATGCATTTAAGAGTCTTCTGAGATCAAATAACCAGTATTATTCCTGTTAGATATTGCAATAAGGCTGTCATGTGAGAAATAAATCCAGAATCTGGAGAGGAAAAGGAAAAAATTATTGATACTTTCTAACCTTCCATAAAGTATTCCAGTTAAACCGTTATCTCCTGCTAAATGAAAGCAATAAGTGGTAGCAGGTTTTTTAAGGGAGTGGTAAATAAACATTTTACTTGAAGCATACAACTTCATGTAGGTGATTAATGGTCAGATCGCAATGTACCAAAACAGTATGAAAGCTCACACTTTTTTTCAAAAATTGTCTTCAGCGCAAAATCACTTTGACTACATGCCTTTTAGTCAAAGAAAATAAATAATATATTCAAAAGGGACCAGATTTGGAGCCGTGAAGTAGCAATATTTTGCCTAAGGGTGGTGCAGACAAGAGAGGGATGGAAAGGGAGGGCATGGGAAGGAGGGGCGGGGGTGGGGGGGCGAGAGAGACCCATGCTCTGAGCAGAGTCGGAGGGGAAAAGTTGGCCCCGTCCTGCGCGCGGAGCTGCCCGAGTCCCGCGGCGGCGCTGGCGGGAGGCGGCGGGGGGAGCCGCGTCCGGCCGGGCGTTGCTGCTCGGGCTCGCAGCCGGGAGCCCAACTCCGCCCGGCGCTCCCCGGCCCGCGCGGCCCTCGGCCTCCGGCGCTCGCCGCGCTGCGCAGCGTGGGCTCGTCCCGACAGCGAAACTTTCACTCGGGAAAGCGAGCGGGCGATGAGCGGCGAGGACGCAGGCTCCACCCGGCCGGCGCGGGGGGACGCGCGTCCACGCAGCCCCGCTCCGCCGAGCCCGGGGACCGGCTCGCAGCCGCACGCCGGCGTCGGAGGGGCGCTGTCCCGGCCGGGCCCGGGACGCCGGCCCGCGTCCCTCCCGCGGCCGGACCCCAAAGGCTGACAAACAATAAACAAAAGTAAGAGTTTGGGGAGGCTGCCGCGGCGCGGGCTCCGCGCGCGGGCCGTGGGCGCAGGGTCGTGACTTCTCCCGCACCCGGGGCTTTCAGCTGCCCCGAGCGTGCGGGGTGGGCGGTGGGCTCCGTCGGCGGCCCCCTCCCCGGGAGCCGCGGAACTACAGAAACCGGCCTGCCGGCTGCAGAAACGCTGAGTCCAGATTTCAGCGCGTCATGGGCTGCAACCCCGCCGAAACACGTGCGGGGCGTCCGAAAACACCGCCGTTCCGCAGTCAGTCGCCCCGATATTAATTAACGCATTAATAAGAGGGCGCCATTAGCCATGTGCCCACACAAATGGCCGTGCAAGAGGAATGCACCCGCATGGAAACAAAGTTACTTTCTTAAAGCTGTATTTCTGCCCCCCCACGAGCACACGCGCACACACACACCGAAACACGCGCAGACACGAGCACACACCAAGACACATGCCCCGGGCCCGGCCGGCGCGACTGTCCCCCGTACCCCGCGCCCAGCCCTAGGTCTGCCCCCGCAACCCCGGGCCCCCCCCCCAACCCCGCCGCATCCAAACAGCTGCTTACCTGGGTGAGACAGAGCGGAGAATACATAACTGCCGGGCGGTGGGGTGTGCGTGTGCGTCTGGGTGTGCGGTTTGGAGGTGTGCGTGAGTGCGGGTGAGAAAGGAGAAAGAGGGAGAGAGGAAGAGAGAGAGAGAGAAGGGGGGAGAAAAAAAATCAAGCCTGCTTCTTGCGTTCACATTTCCAACTCGGCTCAACTGCAGCCAGCCAGCCAGCGCGATTGCCGCTCCATGAGCTGAACTTTAACCCCGCCTAGAGTTTCCCTACACTCCACTATACATGTCTACTGTACGCGGGCGTTAAAGGCATAGCGCACCCTTTCCCGCTCCCGCGCCCGCCCGGCCGGGTGCCGGCGAGCTGCCCGCGCGCCCGCCTCCGCCTCCGCTCTGCACCGCACCGCACAGCCGCCGCCCGCTCGCGCCGCCGCCGGGGTGGGGGGGGGGGGCGCGTGGGGGAGGGGGCGGCTGCGGCGCCGCGCGGCCAGCCGGGTCCAGAGCCTCCGCGGCCGCTCGCGCTCGCTCGCTCGCTCCCTCTCTCGCTCCCTCGCTCGCAGGCTCTCTCGCTCCCTCTGCCCCCCCCGCCCCCGCTTCCCCGCTCAGCGCATTACTGGGTAACGCAGTGAGGAGCAGTTACAGTCTGTACTCCCGGGCAGCTATAGGCTGCCACAGGATGTGCTTAAGCAAACAAAACTACTTTTCCTCATCCCCATCCCCCAAGCCCCGCCGCAGACCTTCGCGGACCTCGGTGGAGGACTTGGGCAACTTTGCCAGGTTGCCCTGCGCTCCCGGTTCACTGTGTAGGGCACGGAGAAAACCGAGGAGAAGGCCAGGGGGCAAATTTGCATGTATGCAAATTTTTTAAAAAATCAGACCTCCTAGGTAACTTTTTTTCCCCCTCTGAAATGCGGTACGGCTCAAAGCATTGTAATCTCTCCAACGGAGCTTTCTGTGGGAATAGATCGTCGGTAGAGGTAATTATGCACAAAATCCTGCAAACTTTGTGCAGCTTCAGTCCTATGGCATTCAGAAGCGGGGGTGGTGGGGAATAATTTCACACAGAAGAGTCACCGGATTTGGGGGGTGAGGGGGGGGTTGTCTGGAGAAAAGGAGGCGGAGATTAATGAGCGTTCTCCCTCCCAGGACTGTGAAACTAGTGGGTCTGAACACAGACGCCATAGAAAAAGTTCTATCGCGTTCAGAAACAACAGTGGTTTAACTGTGACATCTTTTTCTTTTTAGGAGGAAAAAAAAAATGTGAAAGGGATGTCCCCTAAGGGAAGGGAGATATTCTGGTCCACAAACGCGTGCCCAAAACTGGACACAGGCTATCATTACCGTCCCTGTTCCTGGGACACCTCTGGAAGGGTGCCTTTTAAGAATCCCCTCTTTTTTCCTCCCCCAGGTAATCGTTCTTAAAATGGAAAAGAGCTTCCTGCAATTATTTTAGGTTTGGTAAAGTATTATTTTGGCAGAAAAAAAGGGTGGTTTTTAGGGTTTGGCAAGTTGCCAATAAGCCTGCTTTTCCAGTTTTTTTAACCTCATATTTTTTTTCTCCAGGCTTTCCTCCCTGATGGAAAGAAAGAAAGAAAGAAGCCAAACAAACCAAAAAACCCCTTCTTCCTTCTGATCCCCATCCCATCCCCTCCTCCTCATCTTCCTCACTCTAGTTTGCAAGCCTGCTGCATCTGAGAATCCTTCTCAAAATTCCGAAAGGAAAGATCAGGGTGAAAGGCACTGGCACACAGACAGGAGAATCTGCACCTTGGGAGAGGTTACATAGCCAGGGAGCCTCTGGAGAGAGGAAACTCCTGTAGGAATGCCCACTCTGCAGGTGAGTGTGAGGTGACATGCTAAGGTCACTCTCATCCAGACTATGCTCCCCCACCGCACCCCCTCCCCTTTTATAAGTAAGGAGCAAGAAATATGTTACTGGAGAAAGCAAAATACAGTCCTCTGAAATATTCTGCATCTGTCTAAAATCATTTGATGCTTCTTCTCCAGTTACTTTATGGCTAAAAGAATTTCTGAATGCTCAAGACCCATGTTCACATACTCTGCTCCTAAATATCCTTGGAAATCTCTGAAATTATTCATTACGGGACGAGGGGAGATAATGACTTAAATCTTTAATGAGAGAGTCCCATTTTCCCCCAACTAAACAACTGCTTTCCCTTGGTTCCTCTTTAATTTCAGTAGAAGAGAAACGTCCTAAAAGCTAAGCTGAGTTACAGAGACAACCTCCCTGGCCACAAAAACCTTTGCTGGGATCTATAACTTCAACTCGCTCCAAGTTTCCTCGATAGAAGTTTCTGGCGGACGGTCCCAACATGTAACTGAGGCACAGTGAGAAGTTATTGTTCCGTGTGTGCTCTTGGGAAGCTCTCTTCCAGAGCAGATTAAAATCTTTTTTTTTCTTTTTCTTTTTTCTTTTCTTTTTCTTTTTTTTTTTTTTTTTTTTTTTTTGCTGTATTAAAAGATAGACTTCACATCTGCCTCTTTCCAAAACAAGAAAGATTCTTACTTTTAACTGAATCTTAAGAAAGAGAAAAGGAATTTTTTTAAAAAGACTGGCACATCGCCCTGGTTTTTAAAAATAGGGAAAAGTAATTTAATGCTGATATTTCTAGTTTAAAAACTTCTTTTGTTGCAGCAGTGAATGTGCCCGCGATTTCCAGCTTTCTGCGGTTAGCAATATTATCTTAAGTAACTTTTGGCGCCCTTCGTAAGACTTTTGGATATGGGACGATTGTTTGCGCCCTCTAGGCAAGGGCTGGATCCAAGTTCAGCACCAAAGCCCTTCACATCCGCTCCTGCTTTCTCTCCTATCTCCGCCAGCTCCCGCTCCCTCCCCCGCGGGTTGGAGGGGGGGGGGAGGCGGGGGAAACACTACAAAGCACAGTTCCAACTACAGCCTTTGGAAACAAGACTGAGAAAAATACAGTAGAAGAGTTACAGTTACAGAAAGGCTTCTGGTAACTTTCTCTCCAACAGGCATAAATTTAAACACACACACAAAGAAACAGATGTTCCTCAAAGGGCAGTCTGGGGGTAAAAACATTTCCAACTCTTTCCCCTCTTCCCAAGTTGCAAAAGTAAATCCTTGTCCAGAGTTCACAAAGATACTAAGACACTTGAGCGAGAGCAGGGGTGGAAGGAGGAGAGAAGGGAGAAAGGACAGTAGAGAGAACAGTTGTAGGAAACAGGTGAAGTACAAAAGCTAGTTTACTGCAATCATATAAATGACCCATTGTTAGGAAGGATAAACCCCTTATTGGAAATAACCGCTCCAATCATTTATTTTGCAAGTGCTGGGAGGCTGCCTTGAAATGGGATTGTCTTTGCGCAAAGGAGCCTCCTGTCATGCTCTCTGCTATCCATATTCTTCCTGGCACAGAGCCCAGCCTTGCATTTACTGTGTTTTATTTGCAGAAATGTTACCTTGCCAGCTTTAGTGAAATCCTCTTAGATATATAAATTACGTCAATAAGGTTTCACTTATATGTATAGCACAAATACTTCTCATTTTGGAGGTTACTTGATAGGAAGATCTTAATATGATTTAGATTTTAATGCCCCAAGCAGTAAAGATAAAATTGGGGTTCATAAGTGACAATGCCATTAACTCTGTAGTTCTTACCAGGACTAACTTTATCACTAGCATTTTCCAATATTTTTCTCTAGTTTTTTGACCTACTGGTCACTTGTGTGCAGATTTTTCTTAGATGCATATAATACGAAATTGAATAATGTTGCTGAACTGAGCATCCAAGTGGATTTTAACGTCAAATTTCCAAACCAGATTTGATTAGAAGGCCGAAAGCCTTGGGAAATAGCTCGATGGAAATTTAATCCAAAGATGAGAAAGAGCCCATACTATTTTCCATTCACTTCCCAACAGAATTAGGTGTCTACAATGCTCAGAGGGAAGGAAGAGATGGATGTACTTTAGTCAGAGGCTGCCAGTTACTGTCTCCAAGACAAGCTACTGCAGTTGGTTTCCACTGGATTGGTATCAAAGACTTGTCCAAGAGGCCAGACTCCAACTAAGAGTTAGCAAGTCAGCAATCTTCCACACACACCCTCCACAGGGGTTGTTGTGGTAACAAGAACAAATGTGAACTTGGCCAGTCTTAATATCCTATTTGCTACTGACCATATATTTAAACAGCAGAATTCAAGAAAAGTGGAGAAAACACACACACTCTCCTCCTCTTCCTTTCAAATGTATAAAACAGCTGTCAGTCCACCTGTGAAACATTCTCTCTCTTAAAACTGTTGTTTAGAGTTCAAGAAGAGAGGCTTTCCTATCCCTTCCAAGTACTTGAAAAGTCAAAGCTTCAAAGATAACCAGGGAAGTTTTGCAATGCTGCGTATTCAATATGTTACTTCCCAGAGCTCAATACCATCCTGTAGTTCAGGCAAGTTTTTAAGCCACGCATTTTTAAAAAGTTGACCCTCCCCTTCCACAACAGTCAACAGCTTCCCCGAATTTAAAAATAATAATTCAAAGTTAATTTTTCTCTAGAAGAATTTTTCTTTTTCTGAAAGCCAGTTAAGAAGGCATTACACTTCATGCAAAAATTCCCCAGGTTTTTTTTTTTCTTAAACTCAAAAACTCTTTCCTATTGTGCTTGCTAAATCCGGAAGAGCTTGTAGCTTTGACAGCTTGAACCACACCATCCCCTTCAGAGCCGCAGAGAACTTCAGATCTTTTCTGCCCCGCCCCCTCTGGCTACTGGTCTCAGAACCATTGTACACCCAAGCCTCCTCATGATTGGATAAGGCTCTTGTCAATCTCCCATGTTGTCCCATTGATTAGAGGATCGAATCGTCAATTATTCTCCGGGTCCAGACATTTCTTTTCGAGTTTGGTTGACTGCTGAGGCCAGACGTCTTTTTACAGAACAGAGCACGTACAGGATTCCCCCCCCCCCCCTTTCTGGAACCGAGCAAGCGCTAGGAGGAAAAAAATCTGTCAAGCTCAGCAATTTTTTCAAATCTCGGGGTTAAAAAAAAAAAAAAGGAAACCCGGTCTTTGATCCACATAGCAAAAAGGAAAAAAGAAAGAAAGAAAGAAAGAAAAAAAAAGCCATCCACAAAGCTACGTCTTTAAAACAAAACCATCACAATAGACACTCACCCAGCAATCACTAAAACGCATATGCAAGCCAGAGAAATTTTAAAGTCTTAGCCATTAAACAAAATCATTCTGCCATTATTGTTGTTTATAAAACACACATCGTATAAACGAAAAATAGAAAGTTTAAGATGTACCACGTACCATTGCAATGTAAAAAGAGTACGTGAGAAACTTTAAAATGTTCAGACGAATTGCTTCATTTGTTGTCCCCCTTTTTTTTTGCATTAAAAAAAAAGATCTAAATAAACTTGGAACC